AGGAGAGGAGTGAACGAGAGGAGAAAGAAGCGAGAAAGAGAGGAAAGTTAAAGGTTTTTGTTTTACAAAAAAACCCAACTAATTATAATCTCATTAGTTTATATTTCATTTGCCTCCAAAAATGAATAAGTGGCAAAAATAACTAAAAAATTGGTCAAGTGTTTGCCTCCAAAATCACTTTTTAGCTATAATAGTCATTTTTATGTTCCCGCTTAATGAAAAACTATCACAACGCGAATTTAATGCTACGATAGACTTGACATCCGATTTTGTCACTTTTAGTAGCAATTAGTGAATTCGTGCTACAATGCCCTGCTACCAATGCCCATATTTCTTGTAGTGCTGCTTACATAACATTTTTTTAAAAATAATCAACCCACCCAAATGTAATGACATAACAAAAGTTGAGCACTTGCTAACACATTATAAATGTATAACAAGGAACAAGTCAATACCATAAAAGCATTTGTTCCTTGTTAGAAATGTATAACAAAGAACAAGTCAATACCATAAATGCATCTTTTGAAGTTGACAAAAATACCAGTATAACATCATTCAAATTCCGACCAATTTTGGTTTGGCATTGACAAAGAAACCCCAATCTAGAATCATTCAAATCAAACCAGTCGAAATTGTATACATATAGAGTGTGCCCTTTCGTTTGTTAGAGATTCATGCACGCTTACTTCTTTCATTCTCATATTTTTTCCTTTATACTCAAACTATCCATTAACCATCAATCCTTATACAACTAAAGAATGTGGAGATTCATTATGGCGATGTTTCTTCTAGCTTTGGTCGGAAGGGGAGTTTCGGGGAGACCGCTGATATGGAGGAAGGATTTAGGACGGTTGTACGGTTTACAGCAGCTTCAGCGAGGTCCAATTCCTCCCTCTGAACCTTCTCTATGCCACAACAGGCTAAACACTCTATCTCATCGCGAGGTTTACTCTTCCAAATCTTACGTTCTTTGCCCATGATAACTCACTAACGATGATCAATCCCATTTGTTATTTACATAATTCATAGTTGTAAACGTGACATTCTGATCCAACTAATCCACGATCGAGAGTCATACGATATATGTAATTTTCTTTTCTATTTTCTGGTAGATTAGGCGGTCAGATTGTGTGTGTGTTTTTATTGCTATTTTAAACAACGAATTTTGCTTACAAAAAACATATAAGTTGGGATTGCACATATTTGCTTTTCCAGAGTGAAAACAAGGAAGAAGAAATAGTGGCAAAGTAACAAAGAAGCTAAAAACAATTCAACAAGAATGTGGATGATTTTGATTAAATTAGTCAAAGTAAATCATAATCTCTGTTGACAAAAAAAAAAGTAAATCATAATCTCAACTTCCATTATTTTACATTACTTCAATACCAAATTAAACTGGGAAACGGCGTCTACAATCTGTTATTTATTATATAATTTTATGTTTTGGATTGTTTTTGTTTACTTAAGACTACAAGACCTAAGAGATTGGAGAATACTAGAATTGTAATATTGATTAGAGTTTTATGTTAAGAGTTGAAAAAATAGTAATTTTGAGTTAGTAACTGCACAAATGATTACCTTTTTAAAAATTAGGGACCTAGATGGTTTTCACTGTTCATATACTTAATAAGCATGTCCTATAATGTTTTTTGATGCGAACACATAATTAACCGAGACGTGATCCCACCGATGCAAGAAACTAAGACTAATTTGTGTTTCCAAATTTGGAGTAGTTGAACCGAAACTAATATTTGAGTTTCCATATTGGAATGTTCGAACCAAAACTTATTTTTTCATCCTAAACTAATTTCTAATGGATTCTAGGCTCATATATATTAACTAGATTAACGCGGGTAAACGCATTGA